TTCGTTCTCTTGATTACGAATGAATGATTCACTACTACAGAATATTTCATTCTATCACACATTTGCGGTCTCAGTGAATTTAGTTCGATTATTTGTCATACACCACAACTGAGACATCTGGCTTGTCAGAGTTTGAGATTGAATCGGAAGAAATACTTTGATAACATCACTCAATTCGATCCATGTTAATATTGATGATTGCCAAGTAAAATTTAATGAATTTGAAAAGTTTATGAAAGAAAAATCTGTTTTCAATTACACGTATTAAAAAATTAAAGATTTTCGAAATGTGAATTTCATCTATACTGATCATTAGGAATGTTTTATTTTATAAAATATGCCTCATTTGTTTATATTCATATTAAAATATTACATATCTGTTAAAGATTATTTTAAACATATTCATTAATCAATTTACATCAAGCTTATAGTTAGAACGAAGTTGAATATTTAGACTTCAAATTAATCATGAAAAAATTTTCTATTCAATTTATTCAAATAAATATCGAGAAATAAAACATTTGTCTTGTAACATTGTTCTTTTGTATTTTCAGAAAAATAGAACTCACACTTGGTTGATAATACGCAGATCATTACGTAGTTTAATCAAAATATTGATATCATGAATTGATAGAATATACGATGGATTCTAATCGACAATATATTTACAATTCTTCAATGTCGTTTTGCATCACCTATTGAACTTTCTATGACAAATTACTCGACTGTCCAATCAAGACTATTGTTTATCGATATTCTAGGTCCCATATTACTTTCAATACAATTTAAAAGTTTACATATTTTTTGAAGTGGAATATTATATTCAATATTATAGAAACTTCTAAGTTTGTTACCAAGTCTCGATTCATTAAAGGTATCATCTTCGCTACCCTCAAATATGGATAAGTCCGTTATTTAGCAGTTAGTAAATATTCACAATAATAATAAAATTAGAAAAATCTGGCAATGTATGGACTATTTTTTGCAAATGAAGTTGTCATGTGAAATATTTTGAAGCGAATGGTATAAAAGATAAAGATCTTGATATGCTCGTGTGTTATATCTTAACGGAAACTACTACAAAGACTCTTCGTCTTTATTCACTACATCTTTATATTTACAATATGAACAACATGATGGTAGAAAGATTAAGTAATATGATTGATCTAGAAAGACTATTGTTTAATTATATGATCAAACGTTTAGATAATGTCATCTTTTTTTGCAGTGGAAAGTTGAATAGTTTATTTTCTAATTATCTAATAAAAATCTTAAAGATATTTTATAATTAAATAAATTGGAAAAAAAATTTCTTCCAATCTTTTTAAGGTTAAATGTACAAGAAACAATCGGAATATTAATCATGAGATGCTTATATCGGTTTTTATACTTTTTATAAATTTCGAAATATAATTTAACGATTGAGTTAAGCGATTCTTTTTGACTCTTATTTTCATGAAATAAATGACATTGTTCAACTTGATAATATTATGAAGAAACTGTGTGAAGTTTCTTTAAATAATGTATTTTTTTTCCTTAACTATTCTGTCAATAATGAAGCATTTCAAATATGCATGTCTCTTGACTTGTTACTTTTTTTTATGTGTATATGATGAAATGAATGAAAAATGAGACGATGGGAGATTTCTACAATACACATAAACATAGATTATTTTCTGTTAAAATCATATTTTTTCTATAGAAATACGATAGCAACTACTACTACACAGAAGAAATGACACAATAGCCGTGAAGTCTGAAAAATAATTTCAATGAAAAATCCTTGAGGAATACTGTTCTAAATGTTTTTACTAAAAAAAAAATAACAAACTAAACCTCATTCAATGCAGTTTTTAGCGTTAATTATAGATATTCAATCGCTTTATTTGAAGATAGACAAAACATTGAAAATTAGAAAATCTAAGATTTTCTTGAGATATCTCTAACTCAGTTCAGAAGCATTAACATATCGTTGCGATAACTAACTAGACGTACCAAATAGAAAAAAAAATATTCCATGGTAGTTTCGTTTAGTTCGAAGCTATGCTAAGGTACGGGTATCTACTACATTGAACATATCTTTTTGGAAAATCCTTAGTTGAGAGAAGAACATTTACTTTTGTTCATGAAGAAAGTGTTAAAAACAAAATTTTTGTTAGAGAATGATAGAGCAAGAACTCTGTTTTCAAAATCTGCGTTATTTATTCCTTTGATTTTTCTACTTTCTTTGAAAAACTATGCTTTTCTATAAAACGACAAAAATTTGGTCATTTTTTGCGTCTAAGATTTTTCTAATGACTTAAAAGAGCTAGAATATTCTTTTTCGAAAGAGTCGACCAGTGAACGATGCATATTGAAAATTATTTCAAACGCGAAAACTATCACTTTCAGTTTTTCACTAAATCTTCACCTTGTTGTCTATTGTGCTACACTCACACTCATATACATGCCTATACCAACATCCAAAACTATATCTGTTTTGCAAATAATAATCTCACCGATTTGCTTTGAAATCTTCAGATGAGAAATATTGGCAAACTCTATCGAAATATGTCATT